CTACAGCCATCCACGGGACAGCCTGCTGGTGGCCCGGCTCCTGGCCCCCAGACCCGCCTGAGCCGAGGCGGCGCCTCCAGTGGGCCTCCTGCGGGCCCAAGCCAAGTGCCTTCTGCAGCCACCCCGGCCGCCGCGCCCGAGTCCGGGGTTGAGCGCTAGGCCAAACAGGATGCAAGGCCCAGGCCCCGGTGTGCCATCTGCCGAGGCCTCCTCTGGCGAAGGGAGCCGGCCGCGCCAGCCCGGCCCTTCTTTGCCAGCTCACCTCCGGCTGCTCCCTGCTGTCTCCACAGCTGGGCCAGGGCTGCACCCTGATCCCCAAGCCACCAAGGACCTGGGCCAGGATCAGCCGGAGCCAGGGGCTCTGGGTCTCCTCGGGGCCGAGGGGCCAGGGTGTGAGGTTTCCTAGTGAGGGGAAGCCCAGGGCCTTGCCTCGGCCCAGCTTCCCGGGCCACCTCCCTCCGGCAGCCATGCTTTCCTGGCGTGTGGCCACATCGCCCGACTTGGCTCCTGACCACGTCCATGGCTCCCGGTTGTATGATATGAACACGCAGGGTCACTAATAAAGGGAAACATGTCCGTGTAGCAGTGTCTCAGTGGGGGACAGACAGTGGGGCAGACTCCCGGCCCCACCTTCCTCCAGCCTCCCCTGGTCTGGGAGTTGGGGCCCAAGCCACCGGTGGGCCCAGGGCACCCAGAGCAGCCAGCCTGCAGCCTCAAGGTGCACAGCCCAGAATGGTGCCAGGCCCAGGGCAGCGTTCTCCACCAGCGACACCTGCCCCCTGGCTTGGCCTCTCGAGTCCCAGGGACCGTGGGTGGGGGCTGCTCTCCTAGGGTCCTGGTCTGATGGGCTGGGAAGCATGGCACCCGAGGACCCAAGACCTTGTCATACGGTCTCCCTGGGCCCGGTGGAGCGGGAACACTCCCCACAGCCATTGTCTTGGCAGACCCCCCAGGGGTGGGGGCGTGGGCTGGGGGAGGCGCCAGAGCCCCACACCTGCCCTGAAGGGCTTCCGCGCCTGCCATGCTTGCCTCCCCCAGGCTGGGGCCCAAGAGCCACTAAGCCACAGCCACACCACCCAGATGTCCCGGGGCCGGAGTCCATGGAACCGTGAAAGGGGTGATGAGGAAGGAGGATGGCCGCGGCCCGAGTTCTGATCAGGCTCCCAGGCCCGCCGGGCCTTGCCGCTCTCCCCACATCATGCACTCGGGGAGAGGGCATACACCTACCCCGAGCCCTGGGGAAGACGAGGCGCCGCCTGGACATTGGGGGTGGGCGTTGCCCCTGGAGGAGGAGGGAGGCCGTTGGGGCGAGCAGGCAGCAGCCCCGCACCAGCACACGGGCTCGGTTCCCCCGCCGGGGCCCTTGGGCCACCTCCTCTATCACAGGGGTCTGTGCTACCCTGGGAGCCCCTGAGGCGGGACCCACAGCAGGCGCTGCGTGAGGGCTGGTGAGCCCTGGGGTGGGCCGCACCGGAGCCGGCCTAGGGCCAGGATGCGGCCGCTGGACCTGGGGTTCCAAAACTCACCTAGGAACCGTCTAGGTCTGAATAGAAGGCAGTTTTCCCCCCCGAATTACCCTTCAGATGTGAGGCAGCCCTTACACTGGAGCCATCACAAGGCTCATCCGATCTCTAGCGCCACTGAGTGATTTTCAGCATCTAGAACGGTCCCCATCATTGTCACAGGGGACACTTAGCCGTCCCCAGGTGGGAAAAAAGGCAAAGAAACTGACAATTTGGTCATTCTTCCGTATGGGTGATTCCCGAGCCCTCACACCTTGCAAGTGTGGGATGTCAGGACAGCAGGTGCTGGGAAGGGCTGTGGAAGCACCTTGGGAGGCTGAGGTGGGAGGATCACTTGAGTCCAGGAGTTCAGCACCAGCTGGGCAACACAAGACCCCTGTCTCTACAAAACACACACAAAGGCCGGGCTCAGTGGCTCAGCCTGTCACCCCGGCACTTTGGGAGGCCGAGGCCAGTGGACTGCCTGAGCCTGCTGGTTCAAGACCAGCCCGGGCAACTTTACCAGACCTCCTCTCTACAATAAATCAAAAGGTAGCCAGGCATGGTACTTGGAAGGCTGAGGCAGAAGGACTGCTGGAGTCCTGCAGGTTGACACTGGGGTGGCTTTGAGTGTGCCCCTGCATTCCAACCTGGGCAACAGAGTAAGACATCAACTCAAACACACACATACACACACACACACACACACGCACACACACACACGCAAATTAGCCAGGCATGGTGGCACACTCTGTAGTCCCAGCTCCTTGGGAGGCTGAGGTAAGAGGTTTGCCTGAGCCCATAAGTTCGAGACCAACCTGGGCAACTTGGCGAGACCTCGTCTCTACAATAAATAAAAAATTAGCTGGGCATGATGGCACACATCTGTAGTTCCAGCTACTTGGAAGGCTGAGGCAGAAGGATCGCCTGAGCCCACCAGGTTGAGGATGCAGTGGCTGTGAGTGTGCCACTGCACTCCAACCTGGGTGATGGAGTGAGACTCCAACTCAAAACAAACAAACTGTTATAACCTAATGTATTTTGAATGATACATCACTTGGGTGTGTACTAAAATTAATGAAACAAAGATAAATAGGCACTTGGCGTTTTTTTTTATTTTTTGAGTTGGAGTCTCACTCTGTCGCCCAGACTGGAGTGCAGGGGCCGCTCCCGGCCACCGCAGCCTCGACCTGCTGGACTCCGGCGATCCTTCCGCCTCAGCCTTCCGTAGCTGGAAAGACAGGCGTGTGCTACCACGCCCGGCTAGTTTTTTGATTTATTGTAGAGATGAGGTCTTGCCAAGTTGCCCGGGCAGGTCTCGAACTTGCGGGCTCAGGCAAACCACTCACCTCAGCCTCCCAGAGCGCGGGATGACAGGCTAAGCCACTGAGCCCGGCAGCACTTGGCTTTTACCCAGACCCCTGGAAGTTTGTATATCCGACTGGCATGAACATGTGGGTCCCATCATGGGGGTGTGCAGGGCTGGACTGAGGTCAGGCTGTCGAGGTCAGGCTGTGAGGACCCAGCCACGGGGGCCTGTGGGAGGGCCACATCAGAGACTCAGGGCTTCTTGGGAGCCCCTGAGTGCTGTGAGGAGCTTGGTATAGGAGCTTTGTTTCAGGAAGATGCCATGGCTGCGGCTGCGTGAGGAGGGAAGGGGCCAGGCTGGAGGTAGGGATGAGGGAGTCTCCCCATAAGGAGATTTCCCTGCAGCAGACAGGGCCTGGCGGTGGCCTGGACCTACACAGCAGCCTTGGAGATTTCACAGAAGCACGTGAGAACAAGGGTGGTGGCTCACGCCTGTAATCCCCGCCCTTTGGGGTTGAGACAGGAGAATCGCTGGAGGCCAGGCGTTCGAGACCAGAATGGGCAACAAAACAAGACCTTGTCTACAAAACAAATGTGCCAGGCTTGGTGGTGCACACCTGTTATCCCAGCTACAGGAGGCTGAGGCAGGAGGATGGCTTGAGCTCAGGAGCTCGAGTCGTGCCGCTGCACTCCAGACTAGGAGACACAAGAAGACTCTGTCTCTCAAAAAAGAAGAAAAACAAAGACAGTTATGAGGTGGAAGCTGAGGAGGTGAGGCTGAGGAGTCCTGCTCTGGCCCATCTTCCCATCTGGGTGGCCTGAAGTTTGGGCAGTGATGGAGTGGCGTGAGCTTGGCGAGGGCCTCCGCGGGTGAGTGGCCTGGGTCCGCCTGGGGTCCCAGACACGACTCACCCCATCCGGTCCACTTTCTCTCCAGCGGGGTCTAATCTCTGTGAAACCCACCTGCGGGGTTCTTGCTTCTCAGTCATTGTCTCTCTCAGGGCCAGGGCTCCCTTTAGTTACCTGTTCCCTGCCGATATTTTCTCTAAAATAGTAAGTGGCCTGTGTCTGATCATTCCAGGATCGGAAGTAATCGTGGACTTGCTTCTCCAATGTTTTTCTTTGGGTTTTTTGTTTGTTTGTTTGTTTTGTGAGTCAGGGTCTCACTCTGTCACAGGAGTGCAGTGGTGTGATTGCAGTTCACCACAGCCTTGACCTCCTGGGCTCAGGAGATCCCCATGCCCCCAACTTGAGCCTCCCAAGAAGCTGGAACTACAGATGCACGCCACCATGCCCGGCTTAATTTTTTTTTTTTTTCAGTTGAAGTCTTGCTCTGTCGCCCGGGCTGGAGTGCAGTGGCACGCTCGCGGGAACTGCAGCCTCGACTGCTAGACTCAGATGATCCTTCCACTTCAGCCTTCCAAGTAGCTGAAACTACAGGCACGCACCACCACACCCAGCTAATTTTTTGGTTTATTGTAGAGATGAGGTCTTGCCAAGTTGCCCGGGCTGCTCTTGAACTTGTGGGCTCAGGCAATCCTCTCATCTCAGCCTCCTGAAGTGCTGGGATTCTAGGCATGAGCCACTGTGCCCGGCCTTGGCTAATTTTTAAAAAACTTTATTGTAGAGTTGAGGTCTTGCTATGTTGCCTGGGCTGGTCTCAAACTCCTAGGCTCAAGTGATCCTCCTACTTTGGCCTCCCAAAGTGCTGGGATGACAGGCGTGAGTCACCGTGCCCAGCCCAGTCATTTCTTCTAAAGCAAGATATTTGCCCAGCTACACATTCAAGCAGTGCTGAAGTAAACAAAGAAAGTGTTTACCCTGGCACCAACTGGCCACCCGAGGCCTCGATGCCACCCGCAGAAGGAACAAGACTTTTTGAGGGCTGAGCCAGCACTACTCTGGGAGGGAGACTGAGACTGAAACGTTGGGGAAACTTCCTAGGGCTGGAGTGTCTGGGCAAGGGCTGTGGACCTCTGTGATGGTCCCTGGCTGGGCTTCCCAGAGGCTGGCCGGCCATGGGAAAGGTCGCAGGGTCACTCAGACCCCTGCTGTGGGGCTGCAGAGAGCGTGGTACCTCAGAGTTACTTATGACCTTAGGGCCTCCACCCAGCCTTGCCCCTAGGGGTCACGTGTCCCTACGGCCTCCCCCAGGCTCCCTGGTGAGCTCCGTCAACGCGCTCAAGCAGCCAGAGTTTAAGATTTTATTTTAAAACAATAGTAAACAATTTCATTGATTTTTCTTGAATCAAACCACCTCACACTCGGCTTGTCTCAGGCAAAAAGTACAAAATAAAAAGAATCGGGGAAGGGGAGGGAAACGTGGGAATCGCCCTACCTTCCCTACAAGTAAGCCCCCTGGTCCTGGCATCGGGAATGACTGTGGACACGGTCTTGAACAAACGAGAAAGCACCAAAACGTTGTGCTTTAGCAGCAGATTGGGAATCTCCACAAAGAAAAAGGGGGGGGTTGGAACACAGGTCCCGCATGGCCCAGTTCAGGTCTGGAAACCTCTGCAAGTCGAAGCATCTCCTCACCTGACTGTCTCAGAGCGATGCAGGGATGGGGTCCCTTGAAGAGAGCCCTCCTCCGAACCGAGCTGGCAGGGACCTGTGGGCCCACCCCTGACACGGGCTCCCAGTCGGTCGCAGGCGGGGCAGGGAGGACGAGGACATACTGGGAGCACTCAGAGGGCAGGCAGGGACTTCCGGCCCCCAGGCCTCGCCCCTCTCCTCCCGGCCCCCAGGTCCTGTGCGGATGGGGCTGAGGCCTGGCCACTACCGGATGGCAGGACGAGAAAAGAGCTGTAAACAGCTTGGGTTTGTCACCCACATGTGCAGGCTCTTTTGTGAGAAAGGGACTACTGTCTTGGGGACAGGGAACCAGAGAAAGCCCTTGTGGTGCAGGGTGTGTCCGGGGCCGAACACGACAGCAACGGCAGCAGCGCCAGACGCGCACTCACTCCGGACCCTGCCCCGACGGGAAACACTGACCGAGGTTCTGGAATGGCAAGGGTGGCAGGCAGGGCCCAGGGCGCCCCTCCTCCCGGTCCAGCCAGCCTCAGGCCCAGGAAAGGCAGCGGTCGGCCCCTGGGAAGCCAACGGGGGCAGGCTCTTCGGCACCCCCTCCCAAGTCCCACCTGCCCGTGACAAAACAAAAAATAAATAGTGTGCACTTTCCACGTCACCTGGAATTCCTGGCCCCGAGACCAGAGGCGCCAGCCCTCCTCCTCTGCCCCACACCCAGGTGCCCGCACCAAGGGCACTTCCTGCCGGGCCGGGGGCTGGTGGCAGCACTGGAGGGTCTCTGGCCATGGCCCCAGGCAGCAAGTCCTCCAGGGTCCTGGTAGAGGGGCTGGCTCAGCCCTTTGGTCTACCTTGTTCGTTAAAATTAACATAAGGAAAAAAAAGGCTCCACTCGGTGACTTGGGTCTGTCGCGGTCTCTGCCTCGTCCTTCTGTCCGTCGTTCCGTCCATCCTGCAAGGCATTGTGAGGCCAGATCTGGAGGCTGGACCCAGCCACACCCACCGGTCACTGCAGTTTCGTCCCCAGCTTGCGCTGTCTGTTCCTGCAGAATGGGATGAGGGACAGAGGTGGGGACACCTAGTGCTCAGCAGCCCACCCCACAGCCATCCCCCCCCACCCACAGTGCCAGCTATGTGGGCAAATGCCCAGTCCAGCAGCCGTGGAGACGGATGACTGGGACAGGCAGAGCTGGGGCCTGGGATTGGGCCCTAGGGTGGGTCGACCTCTCTCGTTTGGAATCCACAAGCAGAGCAGGGAGCTGGGGCAGGGGCGGGACAGGGATGAGGCAACAGAGACACGAGGGACCTGGCTGGGTTCCAGTGGGTTATGGGGACTTTCCCTTTACAGACAAGTTGCAACAAGCAGGTTCTGTTAGTGACCGAAACAGAAGGACAGAAAGGTGGCCCCATTTTCTAGAGAGGCTGACTGAGGCTCAGCAAGGGGATCAGGGCTTGTCTAGGGTCCCAGTTAAAGTCTGGAAACCAGCCCAGCAGGTCGAGGCTGCGGTGGCCGGGAGCAGCCACTGCACTCCAGTCTGGGTGACCGAGTGAGACTCCAACTCAAAAAAAAAAAAAAAAGTCTGGAAACCAGCCAGGAGCAGTGCCTCTCGCCTGTCATCCCAACACCTTAACACCTTAGGAGGCTGAGGTGGGAGGATCACTTGAGGCCAGGAGCTCGAGACCAGCCCAGGCAACATAGTGAGATTTTTTTCTCTACAAAAAATAAAAAACTAGCTGGGCATGGCGGCACATGCCTGTAGTCCCAGCTACTTGGGAGGCTGAACCCAGGAAGTTGAGGTTGTGGCAAGCCATGATTGTGCCACTGCCCTCCAGCCTGGGGGAAGGAATGAGACTCCGATCCAAAAAATTAAAGAAAGAACAACCTGGAGGCCGGGCGTGGTGGCTCAAGCCTGAATCCCAGCACTCTGGGAGGCCGAGGCAACTCCAAAAAAATAGCTGGGCATGGTAGCACGTGCCTGCAGGTCCAGCTACTTGGAAGGCTAAGGCAGAAGGATCACCTGAGCCCAGGAGGTCGACGTTGGAGTGACTGAACGTGCCACTGCACTCCAGCCTGGGCAGTGGAGTGAGACTCCAACTCAAAAAAAAAAAAAAGAACAAGCCGGAAACCTAAGTGACCCAGGAGGCCCTATGTGACCTGGCCCTGACACTCGCCTCTCCCGTGCCTCCCCGGCTCCCTGGACTCTGGCCCTGGGGCCGGGGGACTCACGGAGCCCCGCCTGCCTCAGGAGCTCGGGCATGCCATTCCCCCTGCTGAGTGAGCTCCCTGCCAGCCCATGTCAGCAGGCCCACCCTGAGGCTGGCCCTGTCCCTGCCCCGTGTCAGGGCCTGATCCCACAGGCAGGCGCAGAGCTGCCGCGTGTCCCCTGCCTGCCGTGAGTGCAAGGGGCCCAGGCCATCGATCGGCGCCAGCCCCCAGCACGCAGTCCAGAGCAGATTGCAGGGAGTGAAGGCAGGTGGCAGACGGCTGGGCAGGCAGCATGAGGCAGGGCCGGCCACTCTGGAGCCAGGTGGAGCCGCTGCCAGGCCAGCTGGGGCCCTGGTGCCTCTAATGGGATTGCCGGGCCCTAACCCACTCAAATCCCCTTTCCTCGGGGAGCCCCAGCTTTGCCCTTAAGCTCGTTAGGATAATTGGGACCTTGATGCACTAAACACGTTTCTTGGCTGCCGGGTGGCGCCACCCGCCCTCCCTCAGCTCTGCTCGGAAGCCACCCAGCACCCCTCGGAACCCAGGCAGCAGCCTTCCCAGCCCCGGGGCGCCACCCAGAACTTGGGGTGAAGGAGTGGCAGGGCACAAGCCAGGGACTCCACAGCCCAGCTTTGCCCTGACCTGCCATGCAACCACGGGTGGCCCCGACGCCATGTGCCTCCGTTTACCCAGTTGTCCAAAAGTGTCCCTGAGGGGCATCCACACACGGGTGTCCGAGGATCTCGGCCACTCAGCCCTCTGGTTCTGAGCAGCTAAAGGCGTGCCCTCTGGGCCAGATGGCCTGGGTCCACGACCCAGCTCACCCACCCCCTGTCTGCAAGATCCCAGGCTCCTCTCTGAGCCTCAGTGTCCTCATCTGTAAAACGGAGGGTTCCATGAGGCAACTTCTTAGGCAAAAGCCTGGCCTTGGGGAGCTCTCCAAACACTGAGGTGGTGGCTGCCCTGGGGCCATATCCCACAGAGCCAGGATCCAGTGACTGCGGTCCCCTTCACTCACCTGGCTTCTGCCCGGGTTACTGTGTACTCAAACCAGAGTACATTGGGAATGAGGCTCGTGTCTCGGATCAGGAAGAACTCGGAGATAGGCCTAGACAGACAGACACCCAGAAAGCCAGGGCCACATCAGGGCAGGTGCCCATCACCAAGCCAGACACCCTCCCCCCTTACCCCCTCCCTGGGGCTGAGGGCTGCTGCTAAACCCCCCTCCCGATGCCTAGAGCCTTTGTCTGGCCTGAGACCCAGCTGTGTGCCCCCTCAGGCAGGGCACCGTCCTACAGTACACAAAGCTCAGCAGGACTCGGGCTGCCTTCTGAGTCCCCGAGAACCTAGGCAAGGACAGGGGTGGCACTTCTGGGCCTGAGGAAGCCTCTGTGTCCCTGCAACAAGCCCTGAGGGAGATGAAGCCAGGCACGTACGTGGGGCCTGGCACTGGAGCCTCCCAGGAAGACGGGGCCTGGGCCAGGACTCCCGATGGCCCTGCCCGCAGGAGGAGGCAGGAGGGGCAGGAGGCAGTTACCAGGCTGCTATCCTGGGGAACAGCGGTGTGAGGACCTCCTGGGTGAAGACGAACCAGGCGATGGCCATGAGGCCTCCAGCGATGCCCCCGTAGAGCACCTGGCTCCAGGTGTGGTACAGCAGGTAGACCCTGGGCCCAGAGCAGAGGGACATGCGTGAGGGCCAGTCAGAGACGGGCCTGCGTGACCCCTGCCCACACGCCTGCTTCCCGGGGCCCCGTACACACACGTGTGCAGACACACAGACGGCCGTGGGCCATGGGGAACAGCCTCAGGCCTCTCCCGGAAGGAGGCAGGGACAGGACCCCAGCCGCAGCATTCTGCCTCCAGAAGTGTCAGAACGGCTCAGCTGAGATCGACCCCTCTCTGTCCAGCCCCGAACTCCGAGCTTGTCTGAAACAGGCTCCTCCAAGACGCTGGGAACAGATGGCTGGTACGTGCACGTGTACCCAGAACCTGTGAGCTCAGCCTGGGCTAGAAGGGGCTGTTGGGGTCCCATCCCCTCAGAACTGGAGGCCCAGGCCGCCCTTCCCAGCCCCGCCCTGCAGGTTCTGGGACGGGTCTACGGGAGTCCAGTGGGATCGAGCCTGCAGCAGGACCCCGAGGGCGGGTGCCACGGACCTGGCCTCTCTCTCACCTGCTGTAGGAGACGAGGAAGGCCGCGGTGAGGAGCCCCAGGGACAGCACGTGCCTCCACAGCAGGTCCAGGAACCTGGCGTTGTTTGTTTGGTGCATTCTGGGAAAACAGGCCCACACACGGCTCAGCCCGCTGCCTCCCGCAGGCTCCCTAGGCGCCTTCCACCTCGGCTGCAGCTCCTCCCCCGCCCGAGGGCGCGCCAAGGGCTCGCAGTGAGTCCCTGGCAGAGCCCAGCTGGGGCCAGGCCAGGGCCACCCAGCCGAGGCCAAAGCTCACCGTAAATACAGGAACAGGAAGGAGTAGATGGAGAAGAACCACATGAACTGGGAGTGGCTGGAGGGCATCCCGTACTGGGTGCCCACGGCTGCGTGGGGGCCTGAGGGAGAGCGGAGACCAGCGTCATGGGAGGGGGCAGGCCTGCCGGTGCGCCCCACCCTGGATCCCCCAGACCCCCGCAGCCCAGGCCCTACCTCCACAGGGCCGTGGTTCCTGGATGACGTGTTTGATCAGCCAGTTGACCCCCTCATTCAGGGCCAGGCCCCCCAGGAACGAGATCTGCCGGGGAAGTCGTGCTGTCAGCTGGGTCTCCATGGACCAGCTGGCCGCCAGCCCGCCCCCAAGGCCCGGCCCAACGAGTGGACACCTGGAACCAGCCGGGAGGCCGCACATACCTCAAGACGGGTGGAGGCATGGACGGAAGCCGAAGTGCTGGGGTGAGGGGCAGACAGGCTGCCAGGGCCGGACGGCACCCAGGGCGTGGTGGACAGGCAGCGGGAGGGACAGACTCACCGTGTGCAGCTCCCGCTTAAATATGATGAGGGTCACGAAACCGATGATGACAAACACAGGGCTGAGGCTCAGGTAGGCGAGGAGGTGGCCAGAGAGATCACCTGGGGGAGGCAGAGGAGGACAGCATGGCGGTGGGCACAGGCGGCTCAGGAGGGGCCGGCCCGCAAGCAGCAAGGAGCCAGCCCCCGCAGGCCCAGCAGGGCCTCGGTTTGCCAGCCAACCGGGCCAGCTGAGCCCCAGCATGACGTGAGCATCTGTTACTGAACACGAAGCCCCAACGTCATGCATTTAGAGTGGGTGTCTTCACTGCGCCCACTCTATGGATGGACAAGCTGAGTCCCAGAAAGGTCGTATGACCTGCCCAAAGTCACACGGCCAGAAAGAGGTGGCACCTGGACTAAAATCCAAGTCTCTGGCCTGGTCCAGGCACCATACCCATCACCCCGCCAAAGCAGAAATCTGACCATGGCTTGGCTGGACTCCAGAGGCGGGGCCCTCTGCAGGGAAGCGGCCCCAGGGCATGAAAGCCTGTGGCACCCAGCTGTGCCCTGGGCCTCAGGGAAATCTGACTTTCCCTGGGCACCCCAGACTTGGTCCACGCTGAAGACCGCCGGGGCCCAGGCCCGGGTAACCATTCGCTGCACAGCCTGTCCACCAGCGGGAAGTTGGCTACTTACGGCCCACCTGTTTTTTGTGTTTTTTTTGTTTTGAGTGGGAGTCTCACTCTGTTGCCCAGACTGGAGTGCAGTGGCCACTCCCGGCCACCGCAGCCTCAACCTGCTGGGCTCCGGCAATCCTTCAGCCTCAGCCTTCCGAGTAGCCGGAATTACAGGCGCGCGCTACCACGCCCGGCTGATTTTTTTGATTTATTGTAGAGATGAGGTCTCGCTGCCCAGGCGGGTCTCGAACCCGCAGGTTTAGGCAATCCACTCACCTAAGCCTCCCAAAGGCGCGGGATTACAGGCTGAGCCACCGAGTCCGGCTCCCACCTGTTTTTATACTCCTGACAGGTTTGGGAGGGTGGCCTGTAAGGTCCACCACTCCCTTTTAAGAGATGGAGAGGGGGCCAGGTGCGGTGCCTCAAGCCCGAGATTCCAGCACTTTGGGAGGCTGAGGCGAGAGGATGGCCTGAGCCCAGGGGTTCGAGACCAGCCTGGGCAACTTGGCAAGACCTCATCTCTGCAATAAATCAATAAAATTAGCCAGGCGTGGTAGTGCGCACCAGTAGTTCCAGCTACTTGGAAGGCTGAGGAGGAAGGATCGCCTGAGACCAGCAGGTCGAGGCTGCAGTGGCCATGAGTATGTCACTGCCCTCCAGCCTGGGCGACAGAGTAAGACTCCAATTCAAGAAAAAAAAGAGAGACGGAGAGGGAACACTGAAGCTAAGTACAGACAGCCCCTTTCCCACTTGCCCCAGGGCAGCACCAACTGAGTCGTAAGCCCACTCTCACCATCTGAGACAAGGCAGCTGCATGGCCATGCTGAGGTACGAGGGTCCAGCTCCTGTGCCAGCACTCGCCGGCAAGTCCCTCACCTCCCTGAGCCTCAGCTTTCTTGCCTATGGAATGGGGATAGTGTCTACCTTGGGAGACAGCCAGCTTGGTCCCCTGCACCAGGACACTTGTGAGCTGGGACAGAGGTCAGAAGAACTCAGTGAGGGAAATGGCCCACACCACCAGCCTGGCCTCACACCAGCATCAGGGAAGGTGCCCACCGAGGGTGGGGTCTGGAGTCCAGGCCAGAAGAGACAGGTGTGCACATAACCAGCCTCATCCAAGCCTCCCCAGGGTCAGGCCGGCTGGGAGTTGGCCCGGGAGAACAGGGCAGCCCCGTTCATCACCTGAGTTCGAGTGTGGGTGCTGCCGCAGTTCCACTGGGTGACCCTGGGTGAGTCCCTTCCCCTTTCTGGGCCTGTCTCCCAGCCCTGAGAGTCTGGTCTCCAAAACCCAGCAGACACCTGCAGCACTGGCCTGGAAGGACAGTGAGTGGCAGGTGCCCCAAGCCTTCTGTCACCTCATGACCTTTCCCACAGCCTGAGGTCTTCCTGAAGATGCTGCCACAAACTCTGGCCATGCCACTCTCTGATCCAGTCCCCCCATGGCTCCCACTACCCTTGGGACAAGGTCCTCTCAGCCCGGTTTGTACGCTAAACAGCCCTAAACAGTCCTAGCCCAGTGAAGGCATCCCCCCACCCGCTGCTCCACTTCCAGGGACCGAACTCGAGTTCCCTGAGCGACGAGCTCTGTCCTACTTCTGGCCCTTTGCACAGGGATGCTGTCTGCGTTAACTCAGCAAACACAAATTAAGTACCCACCACAGTGGCAAGAGAAGACAGACATGTGCCTGCCAGTGCTCTCAATCTGGCAGGGGAGTCAATCATCAGGACACAGGTCATGATCGCTAGTCGGTAGGGATAATAGCACAGTGTCTGTCTCCTCCTCTACGCTGGGAGCTCCACGGAGTAAGGCAGGGTCTCTCTCTCCCTCTCTCTTTTTTTTGAGTTGGAGTCCCACTGGAAGGCAGTGGCCCTGTCACAGCTCACTGGAGCCTCAACCTGCTGGGCTCAGGCGATCCTTCTGCCTCAGCCTCCCTAGTAGCTGGGCCTATGGGCACCTTCCACCACACCTGGCCACGTTTTTTATTCTTTGTAGAGACAAGGTCTCGCTGTGTTGCCGAATCTAGTCTCAAACTCCTGGACTCAAGCAATCCTCCCACCTTGGCCTCCCAAAGTGCTGGGATGACAGGCTGAGCCACCGAGCCTGGCCTATATCCATTCTTGTCCCCTGAGCACAACACAGTGTCTGGCACTTAACTGGACTCAAAAACTATGTGAACCAAAGGGATGAAGGAAGTGGGTAACAATGAGATGCAGGGAACCACAGGAGCATTCACAGGGGACCAGACCTTGCCAGACACCCTGGGCTCGGCCAGGTCCCTCAGCACAGCCTGCGTCATGCGGCTTGCTGCTGCCAGGTTTCTTCCTGCTTGTTAGATTGTGAGCACTCTGAAAAGCCACTCTGAGGCCAAGGAGGGGAAGCCACAGAGGTGCCGAGGCCTCAGCCAGGCACCTCTCCAGGTTTTTGTTTGCCTCCTATAAAGTAGCCGGTTTTCATAGCGTAGGGACATATCAGTCCTGTTCACCATTCTAAACCCAGAGCCAGCCCAGGGTCTGGCACCCAAGAGGTATTCTGTGGATCCTGGCTGAAGGAATGAATGAATGACTGAATGAACGGTGGGCGGGAGGGCAGGACCCAGCACCTGGCAGGGCCACTCCACTCCTGTTATAACCTGGAACACCCAGGGTCAAAGTTCTCTGGCATCCAGCCCTGGGGCCCTCGGCAGAGCCAAGTTTACATCTCTGCCCAAGACAGCAAGTGCGGGCCCTTCCTGGGGCAACCAGGGCTCAGGAGGGGGCCGCAGCCTCACCCAGCACTCAACCATCCTACCCAGGAAGGTTCTGGAAGGTGGGGATAACATTGACGGCGGGTATTTGCTAAAGGCGGGCACCGCGCTCAGCCCTGCTCACGTCTCCCACACCGTCACCAGAGGGGAGGCCCTGTAATTAGACCCACTTTCGAGATGAAGTCCCTGAAGCAGGGAGAGGCACTTGCACAAGGCCTCCGCCGCAACCGAGGCCCAGAAAGGTCTGACCCCAAGGCCTGGCTCTGCACCGCTCCACTTAAGATCGCTTCGCTAATGGACCTCCCAAACGGATAACCCTGCGCTCCGAGAGGTGTGTCTGATGGGAAGCTCAGAAGTCAAGATCCCGGAGGCCGCCTGCCCCCTCGCCTGGTCCCCCTCTGCGGCGGAGCGAGTCCTGCTCAGGGCGTGGCACTGCCGGCGCTCAAAAGCCTGGCTTCAGCTTGCACCCTCCCTGCCACGGGGAGCTCTCTCTCGCAGGCAGCCCGAAGCGCTGCTGGAAGGAAGCAGGCACTCCCTGCACGCCGGG